TTTTCTTCTATTTTAATCTTAACTAATATTTAAAGTACTTACTTATTAACTTAATATAATTATTTCGTGTTAGAAATAACGGAAATGAGGATTCTTAGTTTCCGTTGCTTCCACTTCGAATTTTAGACTATTATACTCGCAATTACGTAGCAAACAAGTATACTCGGTACTAACACCTGCAAGATTTAATATAATGGAGAATAAAGGAAACGATTCTACATAAAATGAACATGAATAGACAGAGGGAATACGCAATACCTGCTCGAAATACCGTGTTTAATCGACATATACCCGAATTGCTTGGAACAGGTATTAAGCAAAACCATTCTTGCCTTATTCGTAATACGGGATCTGATACACGTCTGTTAATTACACGTGCATATTAAACACAACATACCTATGTATTCACATTGTTGGTTATCATCTATTTTCGTACTCGGTTTCTAACGAGGAAGACTGAAAGATACACAAAATGATATACAGATACGTCACGCTTATCACACATTGGGGTAGATAGAGACAATAGAGTGTTTGCTCCACGTTCATGAATCTATTTTAATATAGAACTGTGTGTTCAAAAGGTAATAATACAAATAATCAATAATGATAATATATAAATATATATATATATATATATATATATATATATATATATATATATATATATATATATATATATATATATATTAAGCTAGGATTCGATTTATCTATGCACCAGATTTCATTAAAATGTCTTTTGCCATTTAGGCTCGTTTGAGTAACAAATAACTGAAGATCATTCCAAACATTTCACTAGTTGATTGCAGATAGTTCTACTGAAGAACTTGGTTTTTATAAGAACGGGTTTCATAAAATTTCTAGAATAATTAAAAAAAAAAATTAATCTGCAGAAAAAACATGTTCAGCTCGACAGCGAAACATGTTCTAACTAACTAGATAGTTAGTATGGAAATTTCAATATTTTTTCATTCAATGTTATCTTGATGCATATTATTTTGATTTCATTCTGTATAATCCAATTTGTATCTACTAATAACAATATGTAAATACCTATATAAAAACGGGAGATTAATAAATTTACTGTGTTGTTTCCGACAATTGTTTCGACTTCTTCAGGGGGCATTTAACGATTTGCGTCACAGCGTCTCGCCTCGCACTGCGGGCTGCAGCTCCCATAGTCCGTGATGACGTCAGTGCGGGCGGGGCTGGGGGCGGAGATCGCGGTGGCCGGAGATACTGGTGTTGTCGGAGATGAGTAGCTGGATCTCGTTTAGTTATTGTTGACTCTGAAGGACTCTCTTCTTCGCTGCTAATCTCTTCTGAGTTGTTCAACACAGTCTGACACGCAAAACTCACTATATCTTTTTTCAACAATTCATTTAGTGTTCTCCGGCATCCAAAGTAAACTCCACCCTGTCTTTATTGAAATTAGTGTGACGACTCATTTAATCTCTCGTTTTTACATAGACATTGAAAAAAAAAGGGCATAAGTTTTAAAAACAATATGTAAATACATTCTATATACAAACTGTATTTTACAGCAAATTAAAAACTACTCTAAAAATGTAATTTGTAAATTACATACTACCTGCACATTTCCATAAATTTCTCCGTGCAAGTACGTACATAACCGTACAAAGATTCCGCTGTAAAAGCATTTCTATTACGAATAGCTAATGCCACTATGGTAAAATAGCTAGTTCGATACTTGTGTTGGCGCCCGTACCCATAGCATGGGGCAAATGGCGTAAATCAAAGTTAGTAACGGCGTATTCTAGGGAAACGGTTTACTAATCCACTGCACGCAAACCGATATTTTACCAGCCTTCCTCTATACATTACGTTACGGTAGGTATAATTTAGGTATTCTTGAAACCACACACACCCATTACCGTATTTTAGAGAACCGCCGATTTCACATTTTCGACGAAATCACCGTATTCCGCATAGGTGGGTAGGCAACTAGGCATTGCTTTTCCGGAATCCGACACATCTGGGAGCCTACTATTCTATCCATAATGATCTTGTATTGGTTTTCATCTTATAAAATAATTCTTTTTCTTTACACCGTGACAATTTTTATTACTTATTTTATTACCTTTAGTGTCGTATGCCCGGATTCTATATCAACATAATCTACCAAGATAGCAAAAAATCTTACGAAGTCCAAATGTAATGTAATGTATCAACATAAAATAGTAATAACATGAACCTTCTTACAAAAAGGAACCTCACGCGGTCTATGTTTTCAGCATGATCACTTACATTAAAACAAATTGATGCAAGCCGTGTCTTGTGGTACGCCTGAGTAAATGTTTACACAAATTTAAGTTCGCGGACTTGTTTATTTACACGTTTATCATCTTACAAGTCTTCTGTAATCTAAAAGTTCTGTTAAAGAGTTTTAATGTATTTACTTAGGACAAGAAGTTTCAACTCAAGTACTTATGTAAAGGTGGCGAACCTTCAACTTCATCATATTTGTTCAATGTATCTTTGTGAAACTAAACTGCAAATAGAGCGATGAAATATTTTCATCATATTTGTATAAGCACAGATTACAGATAAGAAATTGATATAACAATTAAACCAGCCATAGTGAACATGCCACTGGAAGCTTTTCGTAGAGGAAATGTGCAATGAAAAAATTACAGTGTTTTGTCACTGTGTTTCAAATTCAGAAATTAGTGCAAAAGAAAAGGACAAAACACTTCAATAGTTAAAATAGGTTTATGACAAGTTTGACGTTTTTATGAATAAGGGGAGTAACTTCCAAACTTTTTAACTAATCTGATTTGATGGAAAATGGCAAACATCATCTGTAGACATCATAAGTGTACTGTGGTGCCCATGGTACAACCTCATTTCTTTCCATGATTTAAAAAATGTTTTTAAATGTTTTAAAAGCATTATATATTAAATTAGGATAAGTCAGAGCATCTTCATACAAACCAATTTAGCCGTTCAAGCATGATTAACAATCAAACATTTATTTATTTAACTTTAATACACCTAGAAAGCAGACTTAACACCATATAGCCTTATATCTACCAGTTGACTGTAGACAGGAATATTCGTCTTTATAATATTAGCAAGAAACAGGATTTACAATTTAGCTTTAACTTTTACAAATCCCATCACTAGATTCTGGATTTTTCAACGTATAAGGTATGATACGTTAAAAAATTCTGGAACATTTCTTGAAAGTTTTCCACTATCAATGTTTGAACGAAAATAATTGCGTGTCTTGACATAGGTTACACATCACATATGACAGTGTCCATTGGTTTCCGTGAGCTATATGCTGACGTTTGCAGACATTCTGTCAACGAACCATACATTGTTGTACCGTAGTGTAATAACAATTACTAGGTCTCATCTGTTTTAAAGGGTGCTGTAGAGCCTCAGTCAACCGTCCCTATCCCTTTGTCAACATAAATTTATCGCTGTTGAAATTCAAACGCTTTTGTGAACTGAAATATTTCATCCAGGCTATGAACGGTAAGGTACTATACTTTTTAACTTATCACTAATAATTCATCTACACTATATTACATTATACTATTGGTCCACCGACTGGTCTATAAGTTAGGTATAATTAGCATAATTCAAATATAAAACCAAATTTTTAACCGATTTCAAAAAAGAATAGTTTCAGTTTGATAGTGTTTCAAATATAAAAACCATAGATTAAAAATACCTACGTATCTTGGTACCAGTGGTCCTAAATAAAACAGTTATCAAATAATGTATATGTTATGTTTTTTCAGTCAGTTAAAAATTAAAATGTTGCTCTTATTATTAAAAAGAATTTGTAAAAGAAAAAAATCTTAAATGATAATCCATTCAATTGATTGTCTCTGTTATCCATTCCATTCTATTGTCAATATAAAAAATCTTCATTTTATACATCTGCCTGTTTGCTCACTCAATTCTTCTGAACCACGTTATGTGTATAAGTATAATACATCCCAAGTAAACATTTTTATATGTAGATAAATCAATGATTAATGTTTTTTAATCAAGTTGTCTAAAAATGTATGTTCATGGCTCATTAGTAAATTAGAGCCGTGTGTAGTTGGAGCGGGTCATTATTTAGATAAATAATTGTAAACATTATGCTCAGTGTATTTTCTGCAGTTTAGAATATCAAACAAACTGTCTGTTTACATACAAATTGCCCGTTTGTCTCTGATCAGCACCATGTATATCTGAGAATAATATACAGTGACGCCCGTGCTACTATTCTATTACTTTGCCATTCCTAAGGACTATGGTGAAATGCCTCTTTACCATGTAATTTTAATTTGGGTAACTATATTTATTAGTTGCAATAATCAATATAGTTTTATTATAGCTTGAATTACATCAAAATAATCAAAATTACAGATCTCCTCTCTAATTGATAAGAATTTTTTTAATAAAATGGGTAGTTAACTTATGATCATGGTCCATCAGATACTGTTTTAGTTTGTGGATACGTTATTTAGTTTTGAAGTGTCCCTTCAATTATTTGTCTTTGCTTTGAAATTACCGGCATCTATATGAAGACAAATAACATGGAATATTATAGAATATACACAAATACATCCTTTATAACTACTTGTGTTATCGGTAAACAATTAATTATGCGCCATTAATTTATTGATGTCCAAACGACCCAGTCCAGCTTCGCCCGAACACGACTTGGTTTTTATAGCGCGCTCGGTGCAAACTTTTACGACTTGATTCACTATTATGGTCAATGCTTAATATGCTCGAATGAGCGTCTACTATTTCTTAATGTTTACTGCTACTATTTGACCTAGACTAACCTACCATGATCCTATTAATATTGAACTATTATTTCTCAACCTGAGTTACGACTGAGTATTCACTATTACAGGTAATCGTAATGTGTGCTATAAATAAGAAATTACGTTGTTTATACAACATAAATAAATACTTTCAATTTAAGTAAGCAAATTTCATTTCCATTTAGTCGCCCCCTCTTTTTACAGGTTCAGATGCGGAGCCTGTCTGGAAACTGCAAGATCCTGGTTTTGATCAAGGCTACGGATCTGAGCGATCTCCAGAAGATGACTACGTCCCACCCATAGTTCCACCAATCTCCCTCGAAGCATACGAAGCCGAGCTCCGTACTGTCTATCCCTTTATCAATGATGGTAAGTCAATTCAAGTCTTTTTTTTTCAATTGATACATTCCCTAATATACACTGCTATAGTAGCTGTACATTTACTATAAGATTAAATACTAGGAGAACAGAACCATGTTAGAAGTATTAACATTATGTGGTCTCGTTAGTCGTACTTTGGCTTTAAGATGACTAAAGAACATAATATTTTAGTTCAGAAAAGAAGATAATATGATCAGTGAAGTGAGAAATATACCTAATAAAATACATAATACCTGTTAATATTATATAAAAGTCTTCCTTGCTTTAAACAAAACGAATCTTTAGTTGATTCTAAGTCATGAATTTGTCTCCAAAGCGTTTATTGCTGTTATTATAATATCATATTAAATAAGCTAGCGTTACGGGAAAATCTGGAATATATGAACCATATTGTGCTCTTGACACAAATACAAAACAAAAGAAAAAAATGTTTACCCATTAACCCGGGAGTCATCTTTATCATAAGGATATTTTTCCCCATCAGAAAAATCACCTCTTCCTCCATGAAGAATTTCCCATTAATCTCTTTCCTTCTTTATTAGAATCTGTATGGGTAGAAAGATAGCTACGTTTTTGCTCATTAAATAAGGAACATAGGTACAATTACTTCTCTAGCTAGACTACTGGGTAATTTAAGGTTTTCCTTAAGTTACATTAATATATTATGTTTTATTTCCCTAGACACCTATCATCAACAGTCATTTAGTTATACTACAAAATAATCAAGAAGTTTTCATAAATGAATTTGTCATTTAATTTTTATTTCTTACATAATTTCGCCAGAGGCATGGTCAAAGCGACCTACTCGATAACTTCTAAACGGATTCAAAAAGTTGCGAACAATTGACATCTTGTTGTGTCAAGTGCCCTCTTGTCACTACAAACTTTTTAAAACGCCTGACGTAATCATTATTAAACTACAACTATGTATATAAAAATTAATGCTACTTTTCCTACCTATCCAAACCAAATGTTGGGGCTTTATTCGGACTATTTAGTTGATGGTTTATGTGAAGTTTGCACAAAATCGGTCAAGCGGTTCTTCATCACAATTTTTGTAACAAATGAATTAAATAAATGGCAGAACATTTTGTTAATGGGGATTTTTGTGTAAAATTTAAACTTTTTTTAAAATGGGGATATACATAGCATGTTGTTATGTCATTTATGCGGTCATTTCATTTTGGACGTGATTCGATTAAAGCAAATTATCAGCGATAATTATTGCTTTGTGTTTATATTTTTAAACATATTGTTGAGTGTATTCATACAAACGGTGAGTCTTGAATTGTTCAAATGTATACTATATATATGTGTGTGGTTCTTTGATTATATTATTGCGAAATATTAATCCACCAAAACTGTGTAATGGCACCAGACTGACAGTGAAATAGTTATTGCCAAATTCGATTGAAGCTACGATTTTAACTGATAAATCAAAAGGAGAAGTTTGTTTGATACCGCGTATTGATGCCATTTTAAAACAAACGATTACAATATCCTATGCGTTTATTATTTACGATGTCATTAACAAGGCCCAAGGGCAAGTACTTAACGTTTGTGGTGTAAATTAGGAGGAATCATGTTTTTCACATGGCCAACTTTATATTGCCTGTTCCCGAGTCGGTACCCCCAGCCATTTTTTTTTGAATTAAGTTTTAAAATAGCTAGCATAAATAATAAATAATCTTTATTTCACTCCTTGTTACAATATAGTTTGAAGTCCCTAACTCCCGAGGTAGGTATGAAAAAACCTGTGTTTCAGGAGTTAGTGCCCTCTTCCATATGTTGTTGTTTTACATTTTTAGTGAAACAATATGAAACAGAGAAGTATCAAGTAGTAGCAATTAATAAAATATATTTTTGTATGAATAAATGAATTTCTTGTTAATTTTTTTTTCATTTCACTTTATACGTAGCGAAGCACGTACTGGGCCGCTAGTAATATATAAAAACCTTTCTCATAATTACCAATCTTATTTTTCGATATTTTGTACATTTTTTGTACGAATAAGGTGGCAAACAAGCATACGGCCCACCATGATGGACGCGATTACCATTGCCTATGAACGCCTGCAATACCAGGAGGTAACTGAAAAAATTGTCTTAGAAAAAACTTAGAAAATATTATATTATCTGTTAAATTTACTATCTATTTTGCAAATTTAAAATTTCTACTCTAGAATATAGTTTCCTACAATTGTTCATTTTACAAACAATATCAGTTTCCTATTCCAGTCCGTTCTCAAGATAAGCATCGTGGGCACGCAGCAATCTGTCCCGCGACTCTCCGATATTTATCTCGGCATGTGAAATGCAAGCGAATTTACCTTATTCACGCGAGAGTTCAAATATAGCTTTTCAGAATGGATAGTGCCTCAAAACATCCGACAAACAGTTGTTCCGCAAATGTTTATGTCGTGCCAGTATTAACTTTCTTCAAACTACTGCTTGTTGCCTAACAAACATTTCCAAAACCATTTGTGTTTACTTCAATTATAAAATCTTCAGAGTCAATTTTAAAACATATAATAATATGTAAGTGCAGGTTTTATTAATAGTATTTTTATTATGGAATCTATCGAAGCATCGAAGTACTTTAAGGTATAATTGTTAAATTTGCTAAAAATTCTAATGCTAATCTTTACTTGTTTTCTTACAAAATTCTAATTGTTTAATATCATAATTCAAGAATGCTAAATGTATATGTACATTAATTAATTCAAAGAATTTTAATACTTACATAAAACATACATTACTATGCAAATGTCAATGTCTATATACTACACATTAGTCAATTGATAATTGATCTATTAGCCAATCAACAATAAATCAAACATTGTAATACCAATAAAACCTAAATATATTGACATTGATTAAACAGCTAATGCTCTCAGTATTACAGGTCTCCTATTTAATGAATGTTATATAAATTTATCTTTAACTCATTTCCCCTTTATATAAGGTCGCCTCTTCGAATGTTCGGTTCCAGTATGCTTTCTCTTAGAAATGTAAAAAGTAACAATTAATGAAATCTGAAATCTTTTAAATTATAACTATGAGATTTTTAGTCATATTAATTTTATTAGTTTTGTTAATTTTGCATTTTTTATTAATGGTTCAATAATAATTTAATAATATTTTTTCTTTCAAACTCAGTACTCGAAATATCTTTTATTTAAGTTAATTATTTAACACAGCGGACATTTAGATAATAACCGTACTCGAATGGACCAAATCATATTAAACTGAATTGAATCTGAATAAAAATCACCTGTTCCAAAGCTGTGCTAATTCAATTTCCTAAAGGAATATTGGTGATATCGGTCCAAAATCGAATACCGTTAAAATTTCCGATGTTGTATTAACAGGATATTGGGCAGAAACGTGGTTCGAATCCATTAACAGACACCATTAACTTTTTAATTAACGTTGTCCTTTGCTAAGTGCCATAGGAAAGCAAATGACCATTAATTATAGATCAGTTAATATTCCATGGCTGTCTACATCTGCCTTCCAATGACCAGATATTAAAATCAATAGTTTAGAATTTTTAAAAATTTACATATTACGTAGAATAAATTAAAACTAGAAGTATGTAACAGTCATTCCTCTGCCACCGCTAAGTTTATAATCTCTAAATGGAAAAATAGAGTAATTTTATTAAAATGAAAAAAATTACAGATTTATAGAGACGTAAATATTACGTGACTAATCACTAGTCATATAAAATAGTTAAAAATATATTGCAAAAGTTTAGTACAGAATATCTCAATAATACAAAAGACGTAAGAAAATACCACAAATGTACAATAGATAAAACTGCTCGTAGATGTATCTTTACTTTTTGACTTTACCTATGTAAATCAGTACATAAAATATCTTGTGTGGTAACTTAGAATATAACCTACATCTCCCTGAATTTTCATTCAATTTTAATCAACTTCAAATTAAATTTCGATTAAATCCGTTCAATAGTTTTTACGTAAAAGAGTAACAAACATCCATCCATCAAACGAATAAAAAAACATATTAGTTTATACTTTGTATTACATTTAATTTATATGTAGGAAACATACAGAGGAAGATGTAATTGTTTACTTCTCGCCCTATAAAAGACTGGTTTAAATATAAATAATTTTTTAATGTTATAAATCCGAAAGTTTATAGAGACTGAAGGATGAATGCGTGTTTGACACTCCTTCACACAAATACTACTCGACCAATTTGAATAAAATTTAGTACACAGGTAGCTTATGTCCCAAATTAATACATAGGATACTTTATGTATACGCGGGTGAAGCAGCGAGATACAACTAGTAGTTATTAAATATATGGTAACAAAATCGTAAACGTATTTAAAAGTGTATTTGTGGCAAACGATTCCATTTTGTATGTACATACATTTACGCCAACTTGTCAACAGCCCCCAGCTAAAATCTTCAGACATGACGAATTTCCATAGTTTATTTTATAATGACAACACATTACACGGAACATTCCGACCCGAGGCGTATGGACTTGCGTTTGACTGACACTCAATTTATGTCTGTAGATAATAGCACGGAAAATAAACCTCAATGTTTCGAACGTTGGCCTAAGCTATTCCATCCCTAATCCCAATTGACGAGTGAACCATCTATTTCAATACTATCAATCTTGCTTACACATTATAATCATTATAGATTCTATTAATTAATATAAATGAACGTATTTTGTGTACATGGACACTTTATACATTTTGTAACTTTACACCACCAAGGTTTATTGTTGTGGCTACATTATAATACCTGTTCATGTGGAAACATATCGTTAAAACTACCAGTATGATCCAATTCTGTGTCACACACTGAGTTTTAATGGGAGTTAAACTGTAATTACATTAATGGTGTCGCATACACAAGACTATTATTATCTATTTTTATATACTTAACAATAATGTCATTAATATATATATATATATATATATATATATATATATATATATA